GTGTGTCATGCAAAATTTTGTCTACTAAAAATATTAGATTCACTGTATATACGATTTTTCGAAAGTTGACATCGACCGGAAATAGACTACCTATCCTATTAGTCTTCGTCATTGTCGTCATCGCTAAAGTTACAATGCACGTGTAAATAATAAATAGAATTCGATAAACTCTTAGAAGAGTTTCGAATTATTTTTGGGTGAAAAACTCATGGATAATTGCATTTTGTTTTTACGTGAGTGTGAAAATGATGGAATATTACATGAATGAAGATCAGCTCAAAATACAAGCCAACGAATTTCAATCGCGTTTTACCAGAGACAAAGGCGGTTCACAAATGATGCGGTTCAGACGACTTCTAATGAGCCTGATTTGGTTTGAATCGAGACGAAGTTCATTTTGATTTTTTTGTTCGAACTTTTCAAGGTAAATGTCCACAAGACCCGATACTTTGTTTTGTTTTCAAATATGGAGGACAACGAGACGCATTATGATGCACCATTTATCGTGAATTGCATTTATTAAATCACGAAATACACCAACTGATTTCCTTTTATCAAGTTTTCATGGAAAATATATCACCATCAGATTTGAATTGTGTGTGTATCAATATATTGTTTTTTTCTTCTATGAGTTCGCTCATGTGGTTCATTTTTCAAATTGAGATATAATCCAATTTTGAAACATTATTTTTTCCTAAGAAAATACAAAACTGTACCAAGCTCGTTTAATGTTGAAAAACGTTTCTTCGTGTAATTTGAAAAGGACCTATTTTTAGCAACCAACATGTTTACGTGTGTGTTTTTGTACGTACAAAAATTAAATTGCTTCAATATATTCCGTGTGATGAATTTATGTAACAGACTGTGTGATGAGTTTAATAATAAAACTGTCAGTTGCATGCTCAAGTTGATATGCATGATTAAAAAAAATCCCATGATTGTGTATGCTGACTGTGTGCATTCGAACGAAAAGCAAACAAAACTGAAACAAGCACATCATTTAACATGTTCGTCAGCCGTTTTAATCTATAAACAGAGTGCCGTTTCATTGTAATTATTATTATGCTGCCGTTTAGTCGGTTTGTTTGATAAAAAGATTCATCTTGACAAAATCACAAAAAAACCCCTCACATTTCTCGATTCACATTTATCTGAGAAAAAGAGTAAACAGCAACAAAAAACCAAATAATAATAAAATCCTTTATGATTGAAACATGAAAGAACGCCATTTATCGAGGCAATGGGAAAAAGAAAGCAATAAATTCAAGCTGAGATCGGCTAAATGTTGGAATAAAAACAAAACACAAGAAATGACTTGAATAATATGCGAAAAAAAGAACACTTCATCTTCAATGAGATGTTATCCATGCAAATTATGTCATTTCATTTTTTTTACTGTATATGTACGGTACATTGTATATAAAGTAATTTTATTTGGCAAAAAAAGAATACATAGATCGTGGTGGCGGTGTTTTTGTGTAAGAGAAAATGTGGGTCAGAATTGGTGACGTTTGGTGAATTTGCTCGCAAGCATTTTCGGATAACATCTAAATTCAATGTTCAATATGTGTGAGCAATGCATACATTCAAATATGCCTATATTCATGTGCGAGCTCTCGAATTGGGAAAGAACATCCCTTGATCTATATGAACAAGGACGTATAACCGCATGAGGTAAATATTTACTTACGCGCACATCCAGCGCTGTTATAAAAGCTCGTCTCAATTTCTGTACTTAAAATTTTGTTTATGTTGTTTTGCACACAAAGTTCTATAGTAGTTTATTTGTTTTGTTTCGCCAAACATCACATAAATATTGGATTCCAATGTGAGCACACAAAATTTACCTCCCACCGAATGTGCACATTTTCTAAGGGGTTTTACCAAAAGTCTATACATTTTTCATCGCAGCATTCATCTTCTTTTTTTATTCGCCAAACGAATGTGGTGTGGAATGAATTTTGTGCCAGCATGGATTACAACACACTTAATGCGCTGAAGCATCTATTTGGTGTATTTATTTCGATGGTTGCACACACATTCCGCTATTTTGGTCCATTATGTATCCGCTTTTCGATATCGATTTAACATCGGTTTACATTCACTTCAACATCATCATACACATTTACATCACACATAATAATCACGAATATTTTTGGCAAAATGTTTCACTATTATGTTTCGGCGATAAATTCATGCACGCATATAAATAAAATAGCATACTATATTTACACACATATTATCTGACACGCGTTTATTATGGACAACACATTACACAGCGATTAATAATAAATGTTCTTAATATTTGTGTGGATGTTGCTTTGTGGAAGCACCCATTAATGTACTTCAATGTCGGTTATTCACAAAAGCTTTTTGGTGCTGTGCTCATTTGAATATGGCCTATGAATCTCATCATGGAGTAAACAGCACGGCCTTACTTAATATCCCTTATGCGGCAGCTTCAAAAAAAAAAAATAGCTTGATGGGTACGTTTGTTTTGATTCTTTCGCATTTATGTGAAAATCGCATTTTAATGATTTTGCTTACGCGCTGTATGCACTAATGGAGTACTTTCTCTCTCTCTCTCTATCTCTCTCTACAAATGTATTCGAAGGTCGCCTGCCATTGTTTGAAATGCTAGTTATTTTTCATAGAACACAATACGTTCTCAAGTGCCATTTAATTGAGCAAAAAAAAATCTTCGAGAAATCAGCGGGTAGGTCGGCTTTTTCCATGATTATCTCAGTGTGTTTAAAAAAAATGAAATCACTGTGCTCATTTTCTCCTCGGGTGATAGCGGCGTAAACGCAATTCTTCTTCATTAAACAAATTCTAAATTCATCGGCTCAGCGTCGAAAAATAAATTCAAACAAAAATTTAATTTATTTAAAACTGAATAATCCCGAACAAACTTTTTGTTGGACTTTTTTTTACAGATTTCGAAGCTGGTCGTCTAATGAATTAAGGAGTCAACAAACAAAGGAATATGGAATTAAAACAATGCAGACGGAAATACTGAATTTGTGATATTATTCAAGAGTGGAATATATACTTTATACTTGCGTCACCAATTACCAAGTGCTGAATTATGAATAATTTTTCGGCTTAACTACGTAACAAATTGAATTAACGCGTCGTCGTCGACAAAAACACAACCCAAAAACTTTTTTTATTCAAACAAAAAAAAAACTTTCACGGGCTATACAGAAGGAAGCATTCACTTTGCAGCAGAATAGTTTTTATCATTTGAGACCGGCGCTAAAATTATCACACCAATGAATTTGCAATTTAAATCGCATGCAAATTGATGTTCGCATTAAAATAAATCTCTTCATCCCCTATCGCCATCTTCAACAACGCACAGAGTACGACGAAGCCTCATCATTTATTCTCCCAGTTGAACATTTGCAGTGTGAGCGACACATATATAAATGTGATTGTTGGAGATTTGTTCTCATTCTCAGTGGCACACAACAAAAGACAATCGCAGGCGATTCGAAATGTTGAAATCAAATGATCACGATGAGATAACAAAGGCGTCAGCACCGGAGTTAAGGTAAAAAAGAAATGTGGCTCTTCACTTTTATCGAAAAACAATGTCAAACGTTCTTCCGTAAAAGATGCGTCGCCGACTCTCTTACCGGATGAGAATGGTCCATTTTGAAAATATTCGTCACCTTTTGACATTTTGCGGATAGAGAATAAAAAGTGGATTGCGGCTGTTGTTGTGTCAGCAGTGATTGATCGATTTGCATTTTGTGCGGATGTTTGCGGTAAAAAAAAGCTTTGCGATGAATGTTTGTCATTCGGTCGCAACTCTCTCGTTCATTTTAACAATCGGTTTTTTCATTCCTTTCTGTCGTCAACTACATTGTTCACGAGAGATAGACAGAAACAATGGAAAACTCTTCGGAAAATAAACAACTCATTCATTGCATATCTTGATTTATGTACAACAAATACACGATTCGCTCCATAAATCACAACCACCAACAAGAAAAGATTTATTAAACGATTCTTTTTGTATCGCCTTCTGTTCATGAATTTTATTATTATTACATTTTTGTTTCGGCACAATGTGTTTCCGTGCTCAAAAAGTATCTCGCCAAATCGTTTGGACAGTGAGCGCTGGTTTTCCCCATTTAGCTTTGACATTTCGATTGAAATCACTTTGATAGTCCTTCTGCTGGTGAACGTTATTACCAAGTGTATTGTGTGTAAGTGTCGAGAAAAGCACTTTCGTTCGCTACAATACCATTGATGTTAACAGTTAACGGCGATAAGGTACGCGTAAATGTTACATCTTTTTTTTTCTAGATGCGATGTCAGGACTTTCTTTGCATAAATTGTTCATCCTCTAGGAATAGATTTATGTGTGCGAACAATCTAATAGACAAAATTTGTGAACGCTTATACAGATTTGAGTTCAATGAAACATGATGAAATTATTTCATGACTACGAATTACATGCATCGATGAAATAAAATCGTTTGCATCAATCATGTTATGCATTCAACAGTCATTCATCACAATCGATTGCAATGAGAGTTGGAGCAGCACGTGGCCCTCGAAAAAAATATTATATTCAACCGGCATCAAAATTTTTGATCGTTTTTCTCGGTTTTTCTCGACAGAAGATGTCATAATTTAATAATGACATTTGGATCATAAATCAAAATCTCACACATGACGATTTTGTTCAACATAAACCGTCATTTTTCATAATTCCACTGTTCGTGTATGATAACACGATGCACAATAACATTTCTAGCATCTCCAATTCAATTTTTCTTGCTTCGCTCTCTTCAATCTACTTTGAGTATGTATTTTCATTCGTCCTTCAATCCATTAAGCTCAAAGCTGGGGGAAATCATCTTCTTGTCGCATGAGTGGTTATCGGGCATCATAAAAATATTTGTAAAATTTGTAGACAAGCAACATAAAGAGAAGCGCGCGCGTCAATGTCACCAAGTGTAATGTAAATCATTGCCATTATATTCTTTGTGCAAATTGCATTATTTCAAACGCTTGAAACGTCTTCTCGGAAATGCTTGATGCGCACGCGATATCATCACAATGCAAACACAAAAAAAATCTTAACGAACTCGATTGGAATAAAAGAGAGAGCGAGAGAGAGAAAGAGCGATGGTAGAATGCTAAAAAAAGATCGTCGTAAACTTACAACAACAACAGAAAGTCGGAATATGTCAATTTATTTACTCATTAGTTACTGTTCAATTGTGCAAATGTATTCAACGCAAATTTGCGTCTTCCAATTGTGTACGAATGGTGTTAGCAGAATATTTTCACAACGAGACGACCGATATTGACTTTATTTCTCGACTTTTTTCTCTCTCTCTGTATCATTATCATTTCAGCTCTGTAGAATATGTTTCAATGCACGTCACTGGTCTGATGAATGTTTGTATGGTTGTATTTCATCCGAACTTTGAGTTTGAATTAAATTTTGTACATTCCATTGTGCACGTAAATTCGCATATCCGACAAGAAAATGACGGCGAACGAATTATATACATGTATGTTAAATTATTTCTCTGTTCAACACCATAAAATACGATATGAACATTTTTTTCTCTCTTTTTCCCTTCCATGTTCATCAAGTATGCATCGTACGTTAATCCTGCTTAAATGAAATGTACGGTGCACACTTGCTGCCAAACAAAAACAACATAAAAGTCGTTGCGAATTTATACATTTGTTGGGTGGCCGATGAATGTGTGAAATATGATATATGTGACATTAGTTATGTCTGTTTCGAAAGTTTCATATTTGTAAAATATACACTTGAATTTACTTTTTGCTCGACATTGAATCATATTAAATATTCAATTGGCATACTCTTTGGTATTCCGTTATTTACCGCCGCAAATTCGCTGTTTTACGTAATCCATCCAAATGCATACACGTCATATTGACACATATATGCATTGTAAAATATACCGCCCTCCGGCACAAGCCGATGTTGCCATAAGGCAAACAAAATGAATTGAAAACTTTGCATGCACAAACAGCAACCTGCGATATGTTCAACAAACCAATTGCTGTCGATTTTCAATTCAATATTTTTCTTCCGGTTTCACAATCGAGCACGTTCCCAATTGATATACGAATATGCTGTTCTCCTTTATTTGCAATGCTAAAAATTGCATCATTTTCAAACGAAAATAAAGCTTTTTTTTGCATTTTTATATGCCGTGAATGGAATGTTGTGTTTTGCCAAAGTGCAATTCAGAAAAAAAGAGTTGCACTTGAAGTGTACCGTCCGATTTCGATTTAATATTGTGTGTACAGAAGTTGAAACCAATGTTTGCTCGTTTTTCCCCTTTCGAGAGAAGGAGAGTAGCCACTTGTAATGCATAAAATACTTGAGAAAAATATATACAGATAAAGAAAATGTGACAAGATGCGGATGTTGGAAAAGTTGAAAATACTGCACACAAGATCTTGCAAGCAGCAATGAAATTACATTCAGTCGTGCACACGTACCGCATTCAACAAAAACACTTTTACGGAAATGAGACTAATGCAAACGCTATTGGACACAATTTACCTTCGAGTCGCATCACCATCATCATCAATGTTTTTTCTCGTCAGTGAACTTGACTGACGTTTTCAATTCGTCGAGATCTTATTCAGTCTTGTTTGCTACAGTACATTTTATTCAACATTTATTTAATTTACATATTTCCATTTTATCCATTTGCATCATTCATATTTTTGGATTTTTACTCGGGATTGCTTGGGCCCATTCCTTCTACATACATGCTCGCATTCACAGCAGGAAGGTGAAGGATGATGAGTTCGGTTCGCAAAGGTAATTTCATTTTTTTTCTTCATATTTTCACATTCATTCAATTTGACATCACATTCGATTTGAACATTTGTTAATATATTTGCGCTGCTGCACACCTCATGATTTATTCAATTCGCACGAGATTAACTTTTTTCATCGCCAAATTAAAGAAAGATATAATGTACGATACAATACTGTCTGTCTCACGAATAAATAAACATTTTTATTTTGATATAACTGCCTGAACAAATGTTTCATCATATTCCATTAAATCCTCTGCATTGAATGACCTTAATTAAACGCATCTAATACATTTCCAACGCAATTAAAATTATGATTGAAATGTATGTCGCTTTTATTCATTTGTTATGTTTGTTATGCGAGTGATTAATTTTGAATATGAAATCCAAATCCTGTTTATGACAGTATCTAATTAAAATTCGTTTTCATATATGTTTTTAAATAGGATTACATCAATACCCGTATATTCTTTATCATTTTCCAGTTACGATTACACGGCATTTTCGTAATAATATCCATACTCTTCTGTCAAAACGTTAATTAAATTTATGTTAATGATGTGAAATCTTTTCAATAGAACAATGTACACATATGAGAAAATACCAATAATTGTTTATTTTGTTACATAAACGCAGATTGTTATCACTAAAAAAAGCATTGAATGGTACCCATATTGATGCAGATACATTTTTATCGGCTTTAAATATAATGGAATGATGTTCGAATGGCGACGACTCAATCAAAAAAAAAAAAATGAAAAAAAACAATCAACCGTGTTTGCAGGAATTTTTTCATTAGATTTATCGCATTTTTCCTTTCTTTTCCCATTTTCGATTTTCATGGCATTTGACACGGTCTGCTGATAATGGAAATGGCTGTCAACGGGATGTAATAATAATAATAAAACAATTAAATGGTTATTGTATGTCTACCAACACATAAAACGTCTTATTAAACTGGCCTCAATTATCCATCGCGGTTGTAACCTGAATAATCATAAAATAATAATAATACACATAATGGGACACACGTGCATAAATATGAATCAACCCCGAATGATGAAAATAATAATTTGTTGGGGTCGAAAAAAGGGTTTACAAGAAAACATCGCCAAATTCGGTGTTGACATTGTATCTCGGAACACGCGATATAATCTGTCGTCAAGGAAAAACCGAGCCACTATTGGGCGTTATTTATGTGGATCCAAAATACGTAGGCAATCATAAAATTTATGGACAGCTTACGTTAACATTCAGGTAAGTTATACTCCGTTTTTACATTCATTTGTTCGTCTTTTTTTTATTCCAAAACTTTTTATGTGTTGCCTTTTTATGAAGCAATACTTCAACGTCGACTTGAAATACTTTTCGACTTTTTTCTTCGCACAAAGTGAAATGTCGTGCCTGTTGAGTTTGTGAAAGTGTAAATGGTTTTTTTTTACAAAGAAAAGCTCTCGTAATTCACAAAATGACGAAACTTATTCCAAGGAGTAAAAGTTGCAAGAGTAATAATTCATGTAGCAATTATTTTGACCCAATTTAAATTTGAATCTCTCTGCTTTATCCGCCGAATTTTTTTTCTTTTTGATAAAATCAACTTTTTGAGAACTCAGCGAATATTGACACAAATTTTTGCACGTGAAACTTGCACATCGAGCAAGTGTTCGAAAGGAAGCGAACGTTTTAGATTCTTGAAATGTTTACTCAAGAAGAAAGCAATTATGTTAAAAATAAAAAAAGTTTTTTTTATAGAACAAAATTCTAGAAAATAAAACTTAAATAGACATACTCACGGTAAAAGTAGAGCATACATACTATATGTGTGTGTGCATTGCTTCATTCTACGGTTGTCACTGCTCAAGCTTAAAGAAACCGATTCAATTCATATAAATTTCATCGAAAAATCACAACCGTTTCCATTCGATACCAGAACAAATGAGCATTTTTATTTTCCATCCGGTGAATTTAAGCGGAAACATATACTTGGAACATTTTGGCTATGCGTCAAAATCCTATTCACGATACGCTTCAAGCGTATGATATGGAACTTGATGGAATCACAACAATTTCCGCTACAATAATTGAACGAAAACACAGCAATGCAATCGAGCACCATCAAAATGCCAAATTAGAGAACAGAGAAAAGAAAAGGATAAAAAGCACCGGTTGAATATGAAGCCCATGAATACACATCTTTCTATTCAATCAGTCCTTTTCTCTCTGCGTTTTCAAGGCTTACATTTCCAATTGTTCATACAATTGAGTTATTAGTTTTTTTTGCAGTTTCAAAAAGTGTATTATACATCCATGATGGCGTAGTATGAATGGAGAATCACTGAGCACAAAATGAATTGAAAAATAAAAATCCAACAATATTTTCCATACCCGCTTTATCAAACAAATGAGAAATTATAGTTCAGAGCACAAAATAATCGATAAGAAGCAGAGCCCAAGTCTGATGGACTGTGCTGGTCATACATTCACACACACACACAAACACAATCACACATACAAGTACGATGAAATGGAAAATTGTGAAAATATTTGCATTGGAATGTATTTGCTTATTGACTATTGTGTTTTATCACGAATGACATTCTCATTTTTAATTGTAGGTGGCCTCGAATTGAGTTGACTGTTTTTTTTATCGTGCCACCGAAAAGTGTGTTTGGCTACAGTGCATTGGATTCATTCATATTCTTTATACTCCTCGACTGCCTCGAGCGTGTTAACATAATTTTGTACTGATGTTGTTTTTTTGTTCATTGTGCTTTCTGTGCTCTCTGTCTCATTTTCTCATTCTCGGCCGTTTGCTCATTCGCTTGCTCAGTTCACTTGACAATGTTGTTTGTCAAACAATGTGCAATGCAAACATTTCTAAAATCAGTCCCATTTCGCATATAGTTTGAGTGGTGTGTGTCTTTATATGTTTTCACATTGTTTGAGCGATGTCGCCTCTTTCTGTTTAGCTCGTGACCCGAGAACCAAATGTGTATAATCAACGTGTCGTATATTCGAACGCCTCCGGCAAATTATTAGATGTTTGCACAGAATTCCATTTGTTTCAACTTTCATGTTCGACATTTCTTTTCGTATTTCTTCCTGTTTTGATCACTTGAACCGACGCAAAACACACGAAAGAGCAACGTTTGTTCGCTGTCACTGTCTAATTAGCCATTAAACCACGTCGACAATAGAGAAACATTCCTATATATAAAATTCATCATTAGCAGATGCGTTATCTGAAATTAACGGCAGTCAATACACATTATGTTCACAACAGTTGATATTGATGTCGCACCTACAATATATTGACAGACAAGACTATCCCATCGTATGTGCAATGGAAAGAAATTATTTTGGGGGCCCTACGGAAATATGTGTCAAGAATACGGCGAGCCGTTCGGAACAATTGAAAAAGGGATGCGACACATTTCCAAGTAATTTGTCTCGTTACAATCGATATATCTTTGATTTTAACCGATTACGGTCTGAACACATTTCTCCAAATCATCAGATATCGTTCCTACCAAATTAATACCTTTTTCTATATTATTAATTGACGAAATCTTCCGCCTTTTGCGCACATTTAATCTAGGGGAATCTGTTTGCGAATATATATTATTCGATGGTATATACTATGCATATTTTACGAATCTTGCATTGAATGTACGTATTTTGCGAATATTCGCAGTGAATATACGCAATATTCACAGTGTTTTGATTGAGATAAAAACCCCTAGCATTTAATTGATTGCTTCCATCTGGACAGGGCGGTAAAAAATACGTCCTCATACAGACTTTTTCGAGCAAGTTCATTAAAAGAGAATATGGGTGCCTAGTGTACAGTGTATTGTTTTGTTTAAATCAAAAAAATCTTAATTTTTGTTGCAACAAAGCGTTGAATTTAACTTTACATCCGAAACTTTATTCGAATATAATAATGAAAAATGTTCATTGAAATCCCCGGGCGAATTTTAATTTATTCACATCTTTTGTGTCGTAAAAAAAATGTAAATCCCAAAAAAAACCAACAAAATCTGAAACATTTTCATTTACTTGCCTAGAGTTTTATTTGTCTTTAATTAAAGAACCAAATTTACGTTGAGTCAAAAAAAATGTTGTAAATTCAACAGTAAATATATAATTAATCTACGTCAATTCACAAACAGTAAAACCTCAATTATTTTATGTGCGAAAGTGCACAGTTTCAAAAAAATAATTCCACCAAGTATTCACAGTCATTCTCAAAATATTTGAACTTGGTATAAGAATGCGTTTTAGCAACTTCGACAAATTTTTGCTTTGATTAGAACATCACACTGTAATAGGAACCGAAAAGTATTTTGTGTATATTATGACAAAGTGGGTGTATATTGTGTTAAAGTTAAAAGTTAGTTAAAGTTTTTATTATTCGAAAGTGATTTTGTTGTTATTTTGTAGTGGTACTTTTGGATGAGTTTACTGTATATTTATACGTTACTAATTATACATTGTATTTTCCTTTCAAACAGATACGGACGTGAAGATGAAGAAGTAATGGGACTGAAATTTTGTAACGAAGCGATAATTGCGTTGAAACAGATATGGCCGACAAGCAACGAAAAACAGCTATTATCTCCTTTGCAGGTGAGTTTTTTTCGACATACATTTTTCTATGTGTTTTCATCTCGAAAACGACTTTACTGAAGAAGACAAAATTCTTTCCTTTCTTCCGGTTTTCATATTTCTTAAAAATACAAATCCAATTTTAAGCTTAAGCACAACATTTTTTATATAAAAAAATAATCTTAAAAATATTTCCCCCAAATACGTAAGGCATTTAATAATAAAAAAACATTGTAATTTGAAACATTGATGAAATTCTCTGTTATATATTAAATGTCAATTATGTTGAGCAAATTGGCTAGTATGATAAGATCATCATTGCTAAGTAATCTATTAATTACGAGGTGCGTACTTTAAAATTCGATTTGTAAAAATGTGAGCTGAATTTTTCGTAATAATTTCAAATATTACTTTGATGTCACCGACCAAATACCATTCGTGCCTTATTTTGACTTTTTACATTTCATTCAATCACGTTCTTGCCTCTTCTCTGCCACTCTTCTTATCCCCCATTAAAGCTTTCGATGAAATTCTCCGAGGAAAATTTTCATTCGATTTATTATCATTATGCTTTTATTAGAGAATATGAACTGGTCGTTGTTACGAAACACGGGGGACTATTTCAAACGAATAAAACAAATAGACGAAAAGAAATATATAATGTGCTCCATAATTCTCGATGAAACAAGTGGATTGTTACATTTGGTTCTGTGGAGAAATTCATTTTGACATCTATACAATATATTTATCGAAGTGGTCCCCATAATATGTTGCTTTGATGTAGATAAATCGGGTTTTGATTTCGAAGCGCTTCATCAAATGATGTAATATAGAAATGGACATGCGAATTCATATTTAATAATATTATATTTCAATTCGATTATCAGTAAGAAAAATGAATTCAATTCATACAAAGACAGTAGATTATTCTGTTGAAATTCCCATACAAAAAGACTCGCAAATAACTCTGGAACCATGGGGATATTTCGTGCGAATAACTTTTTCCTGTGGTTGATACTATCTATACTTAGTTCCAATTTTCATAAATCTCAGACTCGAAAATGACTCAAAAGCATCAAAATCAACACAAGGTAATTTTACTCTGTACTATTTTTGGCACCGTTCCATATCTACTGAACCAGATTCATGTAGTTTCTTCATTCCATCCAACGGTAAATAAAAAAATGGATCCAATTCGTACTGTTTACAAGCTCTTTGGTATCAAGGAAACTATATGCATATTCCATGAGCAGTGACAATATTTCGATGCCATTGAAATGAAATGAAGCAGTAATCCACGAACAGTATCTTTATATCGACTCGTAGTTCATAGAAAATATTTACTGGTCAGCAAATCTACATGTAAGCAATCGATACAAATAGAGTTCAAGATAATTAAATTGATATTGATTGGAGGGAGCGATGAAAGTGGACTCTCGCATTGCCATGGAATCATCATTGTGTATTTTTGTTCGCACACACATACAGGCAACAATAAAATCAAATCATCTAAGCAAATAAGAGGAAATAAAATCACCGTAAATATAATCAAACCAAAATAAATAATAACCTAATGAAACAAACTAGTCGAAGGAAAACAAATACGAACTCCGATGATTCGAGATATTTCCTTGGCGAAATTGCCTAAACGTGGAACTTATTATATCCAAATTGCCGATGAACATTTTGATAGATGAGAAACCACGAATCGTATCGAATCCATGCGAGAAATCGACCAAAATGATTTGCTGCGAGTGTTTTTAGTCTAGATTTCTTCGAATCGTAAGCACGTTTCATGTTAATAAATTTGAATTGACCATTCGAAATATCATAGTCAATCGATGAAAGTTCATTGCCTCTGTGAATTCGGCGCCCTCATATTAAAAAAATCGCATAAGTTTTCAAACGCAAATGTTTGCACTCATTATATGTTCTGAACTGTGGAGAACGATGAACGGACTTTTTTGATAAATTGCAATGCCATGAAAAGCATTGCAAGAAACAAACGATTTACGGTCGAAAGTTTGTTTATCGTTTAAACATACGGATTCGTACTTTGATTGGTCGACCGTGTCAGCGACAACTTTTTATGATCATGAGATAAAACGAATGAAAACATCAATCAGAATAAAGTCGTCGGGAGTAAGTGAGCTATTTGAAAAGCATTCCAAAGCGCGTCAGATATTAATGTCAACAATTTTTAGTGGTGCGCTATGACAACGATGAAGATAGATGAAGATTTTTATGGGTCTGATGCACAGAGCAACGACAGAAAAAAAAACATAGCAAATTGATACAAAAGAATCCAATGAATCGATGTGATATTACGCTTTTTAGCAGCAAGAGAGAGAGAGAGAAAGGGAACCATGTCAAAATATAATATATTTGTCGACTTTTGTGTTATAATGTTCCCGAAAAAAGTTGTGATTTTCAAAGGAAAAAGCCCCAGCCTAATCGCTTATGAATCACTCGAATCGCAGAGAATTATAGCAAAATCGATAAATGATGTTGACAACTCGATTTATCAAACACTTCAATTTGTTTTTCTTGAAGCCCGTTTTTTTCTTTTGTTGTCGCATTGTTTACTTTGTCAATTTTATAGCAATATCAATGCCAATGTTTGTGAATGGTGAGACAATTCTCAAGAATAATAGACTTGAAGTTTTTTTATTTACAAAAATAAATATAAACTCACTATTAAATGTCGGACATATCGAATGTATAGATATTCCTTGGATGTTGACAGGATCTATAAATATTTGTGGAATATAGCTCGAGATAGCGCATCGGCATCGATACGAGCTTTTATTCGATGAAAACTACCAAAATACAATAACATTTTAACAATAAAACTTACGACCGATTGTCATCAGCGTCAACCATATTTATTCGCTTCGACAGATTCTTCAAATAAAAATAAAAATAAAAATATAGCACCATAAACATACACGATATATATAATATAATAGTTTAGCAGTAGCAGTGCACAATATTTGCAGCATGTTACTCATCAGTGTGCACGATTTGACGTTGTCACATAAACAGCGAAGCGAAAAAAAAGACGATCCGATCGCCTGAGTAATAAAAATATCTATATATATATCGAAAATATAATAATAATGTTGCTGGAATGAAATCGTTTATTTGTAGTTCTTGCGTGCACACCATTTATGTCAGTTTGCAAAGCATTGACAGTGTTGCCGTCACTTTTCGTCGCCCATCACTTGCTTTGATAATAATCCCTGCATAGATTCATGTGTACAGGACTCATGTACAACGGATGTGTCACATACGTACGTCAATCGCTTCAACATTCTCCCGTTGTGATCTTCATTTTTCTTTCAGTTGGTTTCGTTTTTCTTTTAGAATCGTTGAAATACTTTCAATGCAATTTGTAGTGCTGACAAGTTCAAAAAGCTCAACAAGACTCGCTGAACATGGCAAGTGTTCGTCTTCGAATTGCGCTCATCATTTCACTTTTAAGGCGAATGAACGAATGCACGCACGCCTCACTAAAAACAAATATTGCTCATGTGGCAAAGTGCAAACATATTGCACACTTTGATACAGATTCACTAAATTCATATGGATTCGATGAAATGTGCGCACACAAAAAAAAAACCAGAGAGATAAAAATACCACAATTTATATTCATATATACATTATGATTTGTTCGCTTTATGTGCATTCGCGCGTATTTTTAGTCAAAACAAAACGCTGATACAATTTATTTGAAAAATAGATTTTGCGAAATGATGATCATCACCGTGAATAGACTGCACACCATGAATCAGGCAGTACAATGACATCTTTTTTTGTCCGTGTGGGGCGACAGAAAATTCAATTTTCGAAAATCAGCACGAGCATAAATTAGATTCATTCGATCAAAATGTGTGGGCCTCTCGAACGCTAGATAATAGCAACGTGATTTGAAAATATATCCAATCTGAGCGTATGACATTTGTCAAGTGCAAAAGATTTTCACTCGACTTAATATTCATTATTCACAGCGTTTTTATTTTGCAATCTTATCAAACAAAACATCTCAATGTAATTCTTATGTAAATACTATAAAAATAAAGCCACTTTGCACGCGAACAGCGTTCATGTTCCGCACATGAATTTTGTTTGGTTTCCATTTATATTTTGTGACTACACCATCATCCAACCATCTGCATTTAACTTGTCACGATCCATCTCCTTATTTTTGCAAATTCCAGCGCTTAGTTGGCATGCAACGCGACTCATCTACCCTGAGCGAAATTGAAACGAAAGGTTATGAACTCAAATGGAGTATCATAATATCGATGACAAAATAATACACGCAACCGTTTTGAAGAGGATTTCTATATTTCAAGCGTTCTGCAGACAGACACACACACACAAACATTTTTTTACCATTAAATATTTCTCATGATGCTTGTCGTTTCTTTTCTTTCAGAGAGCATCCATACAATATATTTTCAAGAGCATTGATTTGTTTTCGTTTCGTTGAAAATGCTCAAAATATGATACAACAAGAATTTTAAGATAGAAAGCAATCACCGCCGTCGAAAATATATATATATTTGATAGAGATTCCATCGTTGAATCGATATCGAGCGTTCGATGTTGAATAGAAAGTGTGTATACGAAAACGGTGATCAACCGATTCGAAATGAAAAAAAAAACACGAACAAATCCATTGAAGCGAACAAAAGGCTCTGGCATCACTTAACATTGGCCATTTGCACGAAGAAGCGACATCGCTATATATCGATTTATGTTTTTCGTGTAAAAATTTCGTCAACAAACCTTCATTGTGCTCAACACGTGAGTTGATATTTTTCTGACATCTATGAAAAATGGGATCGAAAGGAATCTAATCGATTGTCCTATTTTGATACTTGAACTTTTCGCTCGGACGTCAATCTGTGCACCGAAGATATGTGAGCGTCGAAGCGAGACGGACAACTCACGAACATATCTCAAGTAATTGGATATAAACTGTGTGAACTGTGTGCGAATGAGAGATATATTTATTTTTCATCGACATTTTTTTTTCTCCGCAGACGAAACACATTATAGTCGATGATATTACCTCAAACCTCAATCTCAATGGATGCAAATAGTTTGGATTCAGATGGGTTGGGATGCCATGCACGCTTGCTTTGTCTGCAAACAAAACATATTCGAATAAAGTGAATCGCATTACCAAGATTATTTTCATTCGGATTCCACAACGCAAATACGAGCAAATGTGAAAATGTGTTGAATATGACCCATTTACCGCAACATTTCGAGCTGTTTGTCAAAAGAGTTGCGTGCCGATGAAATTTTGGTTAACCATACAAGGAGGAGTATCTTTCGTCGCAGCATGTTTCTGTGGTTAATAACAGAACAAATACACCACACAGATGTGATTCCTCACTTGGAAACAGATTCATCACACATCATATGAAAACCGCTTGATATTTTAGTAGAGAGAAAGAGACGAATAAAGAGAGAGAGAGAGAGAGAGAGAGAGAGAGAGAGAGGAGGAAGAGAAAAACCGAAAAGAACAAATTTTCTCTTCAATATTGGCCCAAGCGCATGAAAATTGTCTGAAAAATGACTCGGCATCACTTACCAATGAATTTGTTTATTTTTTACTACATTCTGCACGGAATATATTTACCCAAACAATTTATTTGGATTCATTGTTAGAAAAAAGAAATGATGCGCAAACACACGTGGTATATTTCACATTCAGTTTTGATTTTCCATAAACATCGTAATTTCCGTTCGTCCTTTTTTGAGCTGCCACATATCACTTTGATTGATGCGTTACGACGGCGGTTTTTTTATTGCTTATTATTATTATTACAGTCCGTGTTCATCTTTTGTATGAATCCCCCTCTCTCGCTGCCGTAGCGACTCTTTTTCTTCTTGCCTTGCCTCCATGCCCTCATTCTACCTTTCCATCACTAGTATCGCAAAATAAAGTACAAAGGTCGATATTAAAATAGAAAGCGGCTTCAGGAGATGTTCTTTCTCGTTGGAATTTGATTTTGATTGAGCAATCGCTTAGCGTCGGAGATAAGATTTGTTTTGTTACTGTGATAAATTGAAGAATAATATGAAGCCAACTCAGGCCTGTTAAATTTCGCGATTACAAAACCATGAGTTTTTTTTAAATCATAGAAACTCTTTTCAAGCGATCCAATGTCATGCAGAGCAGGTGTTTACGCTTTTCACCAGAACAAATTACGCTACATGCGTCAAGGTCATAAAAACTTAAATTCATGCAAGAAAACCATTAGAGGTGTTGCGTTCATTTGAAATGTTGTTATTTGTATAATGCTTGTGTGTGCATGTTTCAAACGAAATGAAAGCACCATAGTAACCAATATATTACAATGCTCATATCGACCCGTGAACTTTTCATACAGAGCTTATTTACTTAGCAACGAAGATGCTGGAACACGCGTGGAGAGACCTTTTTCTCTCTCTTCTTAAATGCATTCACGTGCAAATGAACAATAAAAAGTAAATATACCAAGGGAACTTATCGTCAACATCGATTTAAATTTACGTACTCATTCTCGTTTGTTTTTCTTTCAGTGTCTCCCCGGGGAGAGAGAGAGAGAATGACGATCATCAAACTCATTGTAGTATTTTCGAATGTTATCGAAAGCAATAAATAAATTTGCATTTATATTCTGCCAAACATTTTCAAACCCATTCACATTGACGCTTTTGTGTCGATTTGTCAATTCGTGTTTAAATTTGTTTACATTCATCGATCGATTAGGTCCCATTGAAATCCTCTTGATGTGCGTGCCTATGTTCGTGTATGAATGTGCCCACGTCAAAGAATGGAGCATCATTAGTTCCAAAGTTTAAATTAAATTCCAAATGAATGAGCTCAGGTGTACGTATGGGTGAAACACATAGGTCGATTAATTTGATGTTCGTCTTAGGCGATAACATTTCGTTAGCATCGAACAAAACACACCTATCACCACCAATAACATTGCGATGCGCACATTTGAACGAGAAACAAACTCAAAATTATGATATAACAACAGATTTAGATTGCTATTTCGTTCTGTCCGTCGATTAAATTCTAAATCCATTCACTTAGGATAAGCTTTATTCGATATCCATTTGAGCTCAACGATGCGTGTCTATGACGCAAGTGGGACAGTCTTTAATCCATGGCTGCTAATAGGTGCAGACAAGAATTTCAGTTGGCTGAGTATGTGGTGTATGTGGAAACGGGAATTTTATGTTATGCAGCGCACATTTAATAATCTTTGTCGGTGAAGACACTAGCAACACTAAATTATTGATTTAATCATTCCAATTTAAATAGATGAAGTGAAAGCATTCAGATGCATATTGATACATACATTGATACCAATGGGAGGAAATGACAGCAAATTTTAAAATTGGCGCGCTGTTTAGTTTCGATTTGAGTTGTAAAATTACATTGACGTCCCCTTTGAAATTCGGTGCGCCACCGTCGGCTCAAAGAGACTTGAAGTCTTCACATCCTCTCATTGATTGATACGAACACAAAAGATTGCAAAATTAATCAAATAATCGAATTGAAACTATTTATATGATGTGATTGAAATAATTATGAATCTGTATGCATATTTGCGACTATTTTCAAATAATTATCCCGGAGGTTTGTTCATTCATCAACATGTCACGTACAAATATACCACAATCTCATTGACATAGCTTTTTTGGTTTTATTTACACGCTCCATGTCGATTAGTAGTTTTAGAGAATTGGTTTGTCTGGTGAGGACAAACCGAACATCATATCTGAACACGGGAATTCGAATCTATATTTAAATGGTAGCGACTGTGATGACGACAATGGAGACAGCAAGACATACTGCCAAGCAATATTTCCATTATCGCTTTTTCGATGTGATATTTCACAGATTCAAACCGCAGGAGGTGCATTTCAATTTGAATGATGTTTTTAGTGAATAGAAAGAACTCGCTCACAGTTGGTACAGCATTAAAATGGAGAACTTTGTCTAATCGGATTATTTATGCATACACATACGAATTCATTATAAGCATAAAAATGCTTTTTACCCCCAAAAATAATATCATGTTATAGCAAATGATGTGCTTTGGAAAAGAAACACGAAAATATATTGAAAATACGCAAAAAATATTATGATAAGTAGACTTTCTAGTTCGAAATGTATGTTTATTTTTTATGTCGTTTTTCATGTAACACAGCAAGCTTTAGTCGATCGACTAGGAAAAACTGCATATCCATTTTCGTTGGAAGTGGCTAGTTTAGCACCACCAAGGTAATATCATCCATGTAATGTGTGTTCGTCTGGGAAGAAAAAGAATTGATGAAAAATAAATAAATTTCTCATTCGCACAGCGTCCAGCTGGTCCCGGCCAAACGATATACAGGCGCGCCCATCGGCACATCGTATGACATTCGTGTACATTTGGGTAAGAGCAACCCGCAAATTCGTCTGTATATTTTGTCAGTTATCTCCCGTCGATAATCACCACCTCACCCCCCCAGAGGCTCTGGATGCCAAAAGCTGTTTCTCTTGTATATTTTCTTATTAATAATGTTTGAAAATGTCATGAATTTGACAGAAGAGAATCAGTTTTTCCGAGTCATTCAAAAATGGTGCTTATTGGCTATGGGTTGACTTATACAGACTGGATAACAAGAAAGTTATTATTTTCATTATATTTTCACTTAATAACGGTTTTATGTTGGTTGTCTATCAATTTTGATTAAATTTAGCTGATCAAGGGGAAGATCGTTTAACTCGTCGGTCAATGGTACGTTTGGGAGTTCGTGTGATACATAAAATAACATCAGAGGCACGAGCACAGCCAATCATCGAACCAAATCCTCCAACCCTATCTAAATCACTTCGTTTGCGTTTGTCACCAAAAGCACTGAAATTAGCTAGTAAATTTTCAACGAGTGTGGACGAAAATCAACATCGAGCACTGAATGGACAACGAAGCGGAAGTGGTGGTCTCGATTCAATGTCACGCATCGACAACGATAAACATTCAACAGCTCTGTCAGACATCAGACAATCGACACTATTCACAACAAAGGTACGACGATATTGAATTAATTTGACACAATACCATTTTAACCCTCTAATGCATTAATTTTTTTTCGACATGAGACTTATTTTTCTATGATTGTTTTGGTTTATAATTCCTTAAAAAAATAATCGAAATTCAAAAAATCGCATGGTTTTCTCAAAAAATGCATTGACAAAATTCGAGAACAATCAAAACCATTGTTTAAACTGCAGTAAAACTGCTATAAACAAAGAAAATGATAGTTTTTTTTGTCAAATTTCTGTTTTCGAGTACAACCGTGCTTATAATTAAACAACCGATTTACATCCAGTTGTCAAATGACCGGAAAATGAAAGCCTGAACCCTACTGAATGTATTTTAATTCATAAATAAAATCTTTTTTTTTTCAAATTATATATTTTAGACAATAATTTATACACCATGCCTAAAGGCAGGGCTATGCACTAGAGGGTTAAGCCAACCATCACTGCACCGTGATTTGATTATAATTTTGGTAATATTGTTTAAAAAACGAGTCTTTATTGACTGTGTAACTTATAATTGTATACAATTAAATTACCTTTTCAATGTGAAATCATATTACTATTTCATTTTCACAAATTTTACGCAATTTGGTGCAGTTTTCAATTACCAGGTTAGAGCAAACCTTTCCAATTCGATTGAAACTCATGTTGCGGGTTTTCCACTTTTTCATCTAGTTTACAATTCCAACTGGAAATGATGCACATAAATTGCGAATGTATCGAATATATGAAAACCCGAGGTGAAAAAAATATTAAACTTTTCCTCACCGTTTTACATAAACGAAATATTATTTTAACCGCAATTTTAATAACAAAGTTTTTCTAATGAGAAACATAAAATTCTATTTCCACACTGCATATCCGGTGCCCGTTGCGGTTATTTTTATAAAACATCTTCACTTTTGTGATGAACGAAGTTAAACTAACTATTTATAATGACAATCACCCCCCTCTCTCTCTCTCTCTCTCTCTCTCTCTCTTTTCATCGCATCAAAGAGTGGTTGTGTTTTGTTTTCATAAAATAAATGATGGAAATTAGATTCACCCTTTGGCATTTTGTATGAAAAGCAGTTCAATTTGTCCCAGCTTATTAATGCAGCACAGCCTTTTAATTTCATTCTAATATTCCATCATCGATGTATGAAAAATCATATTCCATATAATCTCTGTGGTCCATGTACACACGCGGTGTTCATTTATAAGTCGACACTTCATTTCACTCGGTCACTTTCATCATTACGTAAAAGAAGCACCAGCATAAAATCTCTGATGTTTAACTTTTTTGTGTGCACATCAATAGTGCAACGATGGTTGCATAAAGTTACTCTTCTAAATACTTCAGCTAATCATAAGGTGGAAAATGATAATAAAAAATGAGTGACATAGATGAAAAAACCATCACATCTTTTTTTTAATGTGACAAGCAGTCCAGTCAATTTAGATTGGAAAAACAAGATATTCAAAGTGAAATGCAATAACTGTGGTGTTCGTGCCATTTCATAAACACAAAATGAAATAATACACAAGTCAAGCTCTTTTTCGACGAAAAAGAAAATACCAACCACTTTTATGATGCTATTAAACGAAAGTATTTCAAGCGAAAAATAGAGAAAGAAGCTTATATATTTTAAATGAATGTCATTCGGTTGATTTAAGAGCCAAACTTCCAAGTCAATGAAGTGGAAACTTCATGAAAAGAAGATAGTAAACTTGATATCAATGTGAATTAACTTCATTTGAGTAATTTTCATGCATTTTCAACGATTCAAAATCACCGACAATGCTGCAATTCACATTTTATTGACAATTTAAATCTGTTGTGCTACATAATATGATTTGAGCCAGAGAATGCACTTTATTGTATTCATTCTGGCATTGTGATAAAATTTTCAACTTCAGTTCCACATCAACTGAGTAAATAGAAATAATTGGAGAGAAATGTTGTCATGTGCATGTACTGTACGAACTAAGTTGAATAGAATAAATGAACAAAGCCATTCACAGAATATTTTCACACTGACTAGCAATCAACACATCTAAAATATGCCAGTGCATCGTGTGTGATGCATACTCGCATGTGAATGCGGTTTGTTGATTAAAGACAATACATATTCCATATTAGATGGTGTAGCTACCAATGACATCAAAACTATTTCATTATACCTTTGTAAATTGCAAAAGTTTGAGTGTGCTTGCATCTTGTTAGTGTTAAGGATATTATGCTTAAAATCATAGATGATGACGTATTTTTAGGGGGGGTGATGGCAAAAATCCATGGGGGTGCCATCCCTGACGATGTCAACAATTTGTACGAAATGAGGATAAAATCGTTTTTTTTTTTTGGAAGTAACTTTTTGAGGCAAAAATCCCTAGCAAATCGGAAGAATTTTCTCGGTCAAAAAAAGTGAAGAGCAAAAAAAAGGTCCTCATTTCCAAAATTGTTGAGGGTTCCTAAAAATATTTTAGGGGGGTCATCCGAACCCTAGGAACCCTCGTCATCACCTATGCTTAAAATGATATAAATTGCACCGCAGATAGGATTATGGTGATTTATGCACGTGTGCACACCACACGGTCATTAGAGCAAAGGTTTACTTGTTAAAATCAAGCAATGTTATTATTGTCATAGACACCAAATGAGCTCAGTTTCATTGAAATCTCTGAGTTATGATGATGATGAAAAATGTGTTGGCAATAAGTTAAACATCTGAAAACTTCTAACGAAAGAAGATATTTATCAACAAAGTCATAGCACCTCGATTGAGCTTAATTTTCTTTCTTAAGTACGGGCACATTTTAGCCATGGACATTTGATGTCATACGCATTCACACCACGATGAACAGCGAGTAACAAAAATATCATCTAATAACAAATATTCTCGATTGATGATTTGATGGTAATTTGTACTTTATTGAACGAGTTCCAAAATAAACTTTTCATGATTTATTTGCTGAATATTTCCAACGAAAACCACCATTCCATTCAATCGAATGAAAAAAATGGACCAAATCAACAGTTGAATCAATTTTAGTGGGATATTCTCAAGTGCGGCAATGGCATAAGTTTTGACGAATCGAGTTGGAGCGACCACTTGAATCACATAATTACGAAAAAACGTTGAAATACCCGCATTGAATGTTGATGAAAAAAAGGATATTGACATTGAATGTCCATTGAAGTTGATTTTTGAAAAAGAATTCATTTCTATTGGGCTCATTATTCAATCGGTATCTACAGATAGAGAAATTCAATGTATTTCTTTATTATTTTTTTGTATCACAGGGACCTGAAGCGTGTGTTGACAAACCATTTCTATGGACGGAAGGACGCGTTAGGCTACGGGCCGCATTAGATAAATCCGCTTATGTGCATGGTGAAAACATTAAGGTTACCATCGATGTGAAAAATGACAGTCGAAAAGTTATACGAAAAATAAGGGTAAGTCTTTACTTTTCTTCTTAAACACAAAGCGTTCTTTTCATACATGTTCAATGAATATGACATACGACAAAAAAGATGTTACAATATGAATGAAGACTAAAATCCAGCTTAGAGCTTTGGTTCTGAATAAAAAAAAAACAAGCCAAACATACATCGATGAACTCTGTAGTGTTTTTTTATATTTCTTTATTTGAATCGTTGCGGCGAAAGAGTAGCATTTATTTTTCTCCAAATAATACTGCAACATAAAGTTTTTTATAAATAGTTTATTTGTTGTATTACAACAAATAAACCGTGTGAAAAAACTTCATGTTGCAGTATTATTTGGAGAAAAATAAGAGCTTCTGTTTCGCCACAACGATTCATTTACAGTAAGTCAAAAAAAAATGCTAGTGACTAATTCGAATGACATAGAAACGCGCCTTCAATTCGTAAAATAGAAATAATTATCCACATTAATTCTCTCTTCATTTAAGTTTTCATGTTTTTTCATGCCATTGCTTTGTTTTCCACCAAATGCAAGTGAGCGTGTTAAATTGATGAACTGGTGAACTTAAACGGAGAAAAGAGATTATACAAAGCTTTTTAGCATGTAAAATGAGCAACCAACGCGCTATTTCCCACACAAAACCCAAGATTTCACAGCATATACTTTTTCATATTATTATTACATAACTTTGTGGAAACCAGAATCTGAACTAATTGCTTGAGTGAAAAAATGTCGACGATCGTCAAACACATTGACCAAGATATTTATGGTTAGTATGATTTATTTTATATATTTTCTGGTTTTATTATTCAACAGGTATTTGCCGTTCAGCATGTAGATGTGTGTATGTTTAGCAATGGAAAATTTAAAAATGTTGTAGCCGACGAAGTTGAAAATCATCAAATTAAACCGAGTGATCCGTATCGAAAAGAGTACTTGCTCTTGCCAAAGAAAGGTGAGCCGAATCAATTTTACCACAAAATTTGACTTCAATCTAAACTATAAAAATAAAGTTTATCATCCAATTATAAATGTTATCTGAGAAATTATTAATAATCTCTATGCGACTTAGGACCGACAAAAAATTGGATTGCGGTTGAAGGTAGCTATAATACTGCGTATAGCTTGAACACCGGATTATTTTCGCATCAAAATTCAACGGCAGAATCAAATGACCAACACAAGCAGCAGCAGCAGCAACAACAACAGCAACAACAACAACAGCACCAGCGTGCAGAAGATAACATGAAAATAGCATCGAGTGCACCGCGTGGACCACAAACGTTTGAAGAGAGAAACGTGTTTGCAATTTATGTATCGTATTATATTAAAATTAAGTTGACATTAAGTGGAATGGGTGGAGAGGTGGCATTGAAATTGCCCTTTATATTGGGCCATGTTGATGACGAAGATGCGATAGATAGCCGTAAAAGTGAAAATACTAAAATATCGGATGGCATGCGATCAAGGACGCCCACCGACATCGTCGGTGAAATTGTCGAAGAAGAATGCGGTCAAGATGAAATGGTGCACGAAACAAAGGAGCATACACAACATAATATCAACGATGACTGCAATGAAAATGCTAATCAATGTGATACTATTCAATTAGAGAAGCAACTGAGATTTTCTCATTTAAACACCAATGCAAAGATAAATGCCAACAGTAACGTTGTTCGTACCCAAAGTGTCGCTGCCAATTTTGATGATGACGATGACGATGATGACGACGATGCTGCCAATAATAAAAGTTGTCACAACATAATCACCGCACAAATTCACACCGAAAGTCAACCGAACCAATCGACCGAACCAATTCCAAACTGCTAATATTATGGTAAATAATCACCATTTGATCTCGCCTCTGATGTAACAATGAATTAATGCTGCCGATGAGTTCAAACCAAAAATAAATACCATATTTGTGCATCTGTTTGTCTCAACTAAATGATAACATAGAAACTATGCGTCAAATGCCATAACTTCAACAAAAACATGATCTATTCCATGTGTGACACATTTTGTCGCAATAGCATTAAGTTTAATAACAAATAAATCCTATTAATGTGTAAATATGAGTTAAAGATTAAATTTTAATGGTGATTTAAGTAGCACATAATCACAATAACACATTTCCATTACCATTATTATAATATATGGACATTTAAAAAAAAACGTTCTCAGTATTATGATTTCAATTCTTTTTCTATTGTCAAACATGTTATAACACTTTAAATGTTCTATATGTCACTATACGGGCTCCTTCCCTTCGTACTACCGTTGTACTGTTCTCATGAACGCACTGTTTATTTTCCGTGGCCGATTGTTTGTTGGCTGTTGAAAGTTCGGATTGTTACGGAATATTTCATGAATGGTATTCCATTGTGCGGCATCACTGTGATAAGCTGCTATCTGACGTTGAATTTGTCCGAACAACCACAACGATTCGAACCAATGATCTTTTACAAAAAATTTCATGCATTTTTCGCGTCGCCATCCAATTGCGACCAGATCATCCAATAAAATATTGGCCTTTTCTATTCTTTCTACATTACCATTCGTCAAGTCGTTGGATCGATATGCTAACATTTTGGCATTTCTGATGTCGATGCAAGGGGCAAACTACTTCACTTTCGTAATTCTTATAATTCAATCTAGTACTCCGATAATTCCAAAAAATTCTATATAATTCCATACAATGTCGCATAATTCCAAACAGTTTTTGAAGTATTTTAAATAGTTGTTTATTTACACAGAATTTTTGTATGAATAATATTATTTCAACGATAATATTTTTTGATATTTTTTTAATTTTCATAAATATATTTTTATGCAAGTATATACAACCGAAACCAAACTATTTTATTTACTGAACGAATCGTTTCGAAAATTGTTTGCACTGCGATGTGCAATTTGCATAGCAGCGACGTTGTATACTCATACATTCAAAGCATCGCTCTTCACATACACACACATTGTCGTACAAATCATTTTCGGAACGTTCCCTTCGTTTCGATCACACACAAATGAAACCAATTCAAAATAACTCTCCGAAATCTGTTTGTATGAGAAATGTCAAACCGGTATCATTGATGTGATATACAAGTATGAAAATATATTTATGAAAATATAAAAAATATCGAAAAATATTATCGTTGAAATAATAATATTCATTTAAAAATTCTGTGTAAATAAACAACTATTTAAAATAGTTCAAAAACTGTTTGGAATTATGTGGCATTGTATGGAATTATATAGAATTTTTTGGAATTATCGGAGTACTAGATTGAATTATGAGAATTACGAAAGTGAAGTAGTTTGCCCCTAGTGTCGATGCCATCAAATCTCGGACCATTGGTATTGTGATTGTAATACCAGCATCGCATTCGAAAGAATGACTCAAGTCGATCTTCACACCAAGTGGTGAGACCAGTTTTCGTATTTGCGATGTGCTGTTTGACAAAATAACGAAAACCATTCTCCAACTTTTCCTTGCTTGGCCATTCGAACTGTTCATCACTGAAGTTTTCGACCATGAACCGAAACTCTGGCGGTATGGGATTTCGGCTATTATTATTGTAAACATTTTCGGCCAATACCGCATTGAAGCAATCGAAGAAGAACTGTCGACGATCCCGTCGCAAAAAGAACTGACGATCTTCAATATCGAGTGCTTCATTCACCTTGATTAAAATCAAAAGTGAGGCCAATGAGGCAACTTCCGTCATTTGAAGACTGCGCTCAAACAATATTTGCGTCACAACTGCTGCATGCTCGGGTCGAAGTATTGTTTGCAATCCACATTTTATTGCAACGAAATTATTTTCTTCTTCTCTTTCATCATCGTATACCGGCGAATCGTTGTTATCTCTTTTTCTTTTCATTCTCGAAGAACTGATACAAATAAACGAAAATAAAAAAAACACACAAATTTAGAAAAAGATGCACCAAATATAGCATAGATCACAAACACAATAAGATAAAAACACTTCTATCACAAATCAAATGAAACAGTAATGAAAAACGCATCATAAATATCACGTCTTACCTCAACAAAGTGACTCTGTGTTCTAAATCGAATTATGAAATTTATTTTCAATGTTGTTGGAATATTCACAGTAAATTTTATCAACACTCTGTTATTTCGAAATCAAAACAAAAATGAACACAAAACCAACTGTGAATATATCCATTCCTCAGCGAACAGCGTTCCGAACACACAAAATCGTTGAAATTGAAATGACAATAAAATCAGTTGATCGCCCAAACCACGCTACAAACACTCACATCTAATTCTCAAGAAATCCTCTTAAAAACAAAACAAAGTTTTATTGTAAACAAAATCGGTTGGTGCGATTGTAGTTTCAAAGTGATGGAAGTTGTTTATACTAACAATACTGTCACACGATGCGAGCTCATTTTTTATATAAATGAATATCGTTGGATTTGGTTTGACACATATACACCGCGCCAATCGAAAAATGTCAGAAAGATGTTAGTTGCATCTCGAACATTGAAAATACTAATTCCAAAAATAAAGAAAATTAAATGCAATAAATGACGTATAAAAAAATAGTTCTTCTGCTGAGTTTTAAATTAAATTATGCAAATCTCTTTCCTAACAAATTGTTTATTTTTTAATTCGAGCGTAAGATTTGGATTTTCAATTTAAAACTTAATCTTAATGTATTGGGTTGTGTTCACATTATGTTGTCAAATGAAATATTATTGGAAGTAAAAGAAACAAGTGGATCCATTCCATTGGAATTCGTGGGAACTATGTATATAATTTCCGTTCCATTTGACACGAAAATGACCACCAGAATGGGCCAAAACGTTACATTTTTCAACGTTAGAATGTACTAAAAACATTACAAATTTGTCACTATAGGAAATATGAATAATTAAAATGATTCTCAAAATTCATGCAATGGTTAAATTTTATCAAGATCTACCGTTCGAGTTTTATGATAATAATGATGCATTAGAGTGTTAATCCCATTTGTTTTCTATCTTATGAGTCGGTGTTTTAAATTTTAGTCCTCCCCAACTAGCCTCTGCCGCAAACAGTTTGACGAAACAAATGACTAAGGACTAAGTCAACCTCAATTAAGATTGATTGATGCACTCAAATATATAGTACGTAGAAATAAATATGTTGCTCACTCAATTTCTATATAAATGGTTTCAATGTCAATAGTATTTATTATTCAATCTTATCTAGCGTGTTTATTGGCATAACCATCAAATCAAAATTGCAAGATAAATAATATAATTCGATACAATGAATTATTAGCTATCGATTGATCATGAAAACAGTACCCATCCACTCAATAGTTTAACCAATGACGCTATAGGACTGTATCGATATCGGAATTTTGTTGCTAAACTGCGACTTTCAACATGCAACATTGTGCATGAGATTATACAATTTATTCTATTTTCGTATTTTGTGGCCCTATATCGTCGTTGGATGAACCATATATGAAATTGCCAATCAAATAAAACAACAAATAAAAATTATACGAAAAATATAGATGTACCATTAACACAAATGGTATTCAAATCAGTTGAAATCACATAAGTGCGAAGTGAGTGTGTTGTTTCTGATGTTCCATTGCTAACATTACTTCGAGCATTTGTATGATTGTGAGAGACCGGTGTTTTTTCACGACAATCATAACACTCAAAGGGTGCATTCTTATTGGAATTATGGCAACCGAAATGAATACCATCATTGCTACAAAAACAGCACCAATCTATCGACCACTTTCCATTCGTTGCAAAATGTACCATGTAGAGCATGGAATATTAAGTAAATACAAGTTGAAAATAAAATAAAAAATCATTCGCATTTTGCTCTTTGATGTGCAATAGCCTATTGGAAATAAAATTAAAATTCAAAAAATGATCTCAAAATGGTATGGAGTGTGTTTTATTTGCGTAGAAATATTTCTTTAAAGAAAATTTAATGACAGATTTTGCAGCAAGGTAAGTAACATTAGATTTGTAGAATTTTGAAATGTTCCTTAGCTTGTTGCTGTTAAAAATAAAAGAGAATTGGGTTTAAGATTTCGGGCAAATCATTGAATTGTCCAAAATACTTTTTTTTTTAATTTCGAATTTGGTGCTCACGTTGTGATTTAATGAATTCACGTTACAGCAACTATTACGCGATAAATAAAGTGCACACAATAAATTCACCATTTAATTGTTTTTATTTCTTTAAAAAAATGCTTTCCACTGTTTCAATTTTAAAAATGAAAACGATAAATTCATCTCAATTTAATATCCTTCATCAGAGGTCTCAATTTGATAGTTTGCGTATTTCGTCAACAGGATACGTCTGGCTTCATCGTGATCGGCTTTTCCATACCCCTTTGAAAAGAGAAACAATGAAATCAGTTTGTTAGTTTTGACAATTGAATTGTTGATAATTGAAAGAAAAATTCCGAATCACCGACATTGAATATCACAATGCATTCTTTTATATCCATTTGCATTATTCATGCCATGCGCCGTTATTGTCCACTTACAGTTGAATGTCCGTAAACTTTTAACAATTTACTCTCTGGAAAATGTTCGATACGACCTCCACCTAGGCATTCAGTATCCAGACCAAGTGCACGAATCGAACCGCTTGCCTCATCGTAAATGTCGGCTACAATAATAAACATACAAAGAAATGAGTTATAGATCACGAACATTAAAAATGTATGAACAAATAATAAACGGTGAGTTCTTTATTACCATGCCATTCAGCTCTTTTGTAACCCCGCACAATGAGTTTACTGGGTTCAGTTCCATCGGCTTGTTCTTTGCCATACACTTTAATCAGAATATATTTAAAGCGACCTTCATCATCGATATCAACCAATGGTACGGCTTCCAATTTTGCATCCATTTTTTGCCAATAATAACGAGATTTCACTAGATTCGCTTCTGCTCTGGTATTTGTTGTTGTTCGAAGTATACGTAAACCGGTGCACAATAAATTACTGCTTGAAAATATAATAAAAGTCCAAAATTGAATTGGAAAAACAGAATATTGTGAATGGTAAGACTCTTACCGCATTGAATCAATTCACCCTACTCAAATATGTACCTTTTTTGGTTGAAAAAAGATGAGATGAAAAATGTTATCGCTGAATTGAAACTGTCGCCGTGCATCTGTTTTGACATATGCGCACATATTTGTGATGCTTTGTGTCAATTCCAGGGTTGTAGTCAAACAATTTTATTCGAGGTGGCTTATCGTACAAATGTAAACAAAATATAATACTTTCACATGGCGATCAGCTTCAGTTTTGAGAAGTTGATTGAAGGCATTTTTTTGGAAAATCTACAAATTTATAAATTAAATACAACACTTTTGGTCGAAAGCCACTTCTTATTTGAAAACGTGCACATTCACGCACGACTCATGGCTCTCGATAGGGATTCGCATGTTGTTTTGACATATCCAATTTGACAGCGGCATGCTCGTGGTATATTTGTATTTTAATTCTGATTGAAATACCATCGGAATTTGTGTAATTTTTTTTAATTATTTCAACCGAAATAATGTCTAAATTGATTTTAAAAGAAAAGTTTATTTCCCAAGCATCGGAGGCCTGGAGATTTTTGCACGGTACGATAAATGTTTACAAACCGGCTGGTATGTTAACGTCTGTCCTGATAAATGCCGTAAAAATAAACATTTGCAAAGGTGAGTAGAGAATAGTTTTGAATGAAAATGAAATTGTGTTTTGAATGTGTTCCTTCTGGAATTTGCAGGTTTGAATTCATTGGAGCTTAGTGAACCAAAGCCACTTGTACAAATTACGAGCGCTGACAATAAAAATTATTCCATTCAATTGGTGCCGAACTTGGGACAGGACATTTTGGCAACGGGCCCTCGATACACTGAGAAAATGCTAAGAATTTCACCGGCTGATCATCTTGGAGCAAATACGAGTGGTGTTATGAGTGAGATTCGAATTTGCTGTATTTTATTTGCTTCTTTTATAATTTGATTATATGTTTATTTTTTGTTTGCAGTTTTGGGTATAAATAGAGGTATTGAATTCGCAAATATTCTGAGAAATGGAGCGCCGATTCAAACATTTCAAGTGACCGGTAAATTTGGCAAAGCAACCGACACAAATTTTCAAGGAGCTCACATCACAACCCGTGGATCGTATAAACATGTTACAAAAGGAAAATTAGAAGCATTATTGTCATCGTTGCAGGCATCGTATCAAAAACAAATGTATGATAGGTCTGGTGTCGATATACAATCGCAAGCCGCTTACGAATTGGCATGTAAAGGACTTATACGACCGGCGAATACAAAAGAGACGGTTATTTATGGCATTCGAAATACCGAATTCACAAGAAACACATTCACCATGGAAGTACAAGCAATGAATGCTTCCGAAGAACTATTGGCCAGTTTAGTATTAGATATAGCCGTTCAATTGAGAACTGTGGCCCATTGTACGAAAATTAGATGTACACGTTATGGATATTTTTCATTCGAACATTCACTATTGAGAAGCCAATGGAATTTGGAAAGAATTTTGAGAAGTATGCACGAATGCCAACAAATATGGAAATCACATCCTGATATGGTTGCTGAGGATATTTCTTCACCAGTAGGTTATGCAGAAGATTTACAGAAATAAATATATCTTTCCAAGATTCTCTTTAGAGGAGAATTTATTTGTTCGAATTAAGCTGTATCAAGTTGACTTTTTTGTTTTTTAAATAAAGAATAGTTTCTGAAAAATAAAATGAGGCCTTTTTACTTTCTGTACGAATTATAGATTAGTTGACCGAAAGAAAAGACGAAATTCCATTTAACTACCATAAATTTATATATTTTGATTTTATTTTGAAATTTTTGTTGATTTTCACTGATAAATCACAATTAAATTTTTGAAATTATTCAAAGTTTTTGTCATTGTATGACAAATAAAATAGTTTAGATCATTTTTGTATTTCTACTATTATCAATTTCAGTGTTGATAGGATAGAGAATCATCAAGCTGAGTATAACAATAAAACGAATGTGTTAACTTAAATGCTATCCTAAAAAGATGAATATTTTACGATGATAATAATAAGTATCATTAAAAACAAGTTAAAATGAGGTTATATAAAGCGGTTTGATTTTGATTAGTTGCAGGGATCGGGATGTTGATATATTTAATCGACTTCTTCGATTGTTGGGCCTGAACCAGCACCACCCGATGGATTATCACCACCAGTGCCTGGGAAACCACCTGGCATACCACCGGGCATACCGCCTGGAGCGCCACCGGCAGCACCATACAATTTGGTGATGATTGGATTGCAAACACCTTCAAGTTCCTTTTGACGATGTTCGTATTCTTCCTTTTCGGCCAATTGATT